CCTATTGTACTTCCATCGGCCAACAAAATGAGCTTCGTCAATTTGAACACACTCCTTACTCTTTCATGTCCGATTCATTACCATATGAGTAGGCAATTCCAATACAAACATAAATACAAATTTAATAATTTGACTAAATATTAACCCACTGTTTCAACTTTGGTTCAAGTCAGTGAAATTAAAAAATCTTTTGGGGACCGAAAAATTTTCACATTAGGCCATTTCTGTCGTTTTACTTGCATTTCTGTGTCCTAATAAAATCTATAGTAGAAATTACAGTAAAAAGTACCTTCTACAGTAACAAATAAAAGATAATAAAGTTGAAAGAAAAACCCAAAATCATATATAAAAAGAGGCAGCATATTCAAAAAATAGACCGAGTGTAAAACGTCAAAACCTGTAGAGTGCATACCAAACTAGCACYTACTTATGTTCACAATATTATACCTCCCATYAGTTGTATTAGAAATAGACACTTACTTTTTTCTGATGTTATAATGTAGGGATTTATACGAGTATAAGTATAAGTTATTTCGAAGTGAACCACATTGTTAAGATAAGTAGGTAAAAATATAAAAATATAAAACACATTTTTAATTTTATAACAAATAAGGGAACWTTCGTTTTTACACTACACAGAGCATTCTAGTTTGGTTAGATACACATTAAGAAATTGGATTTTACTTTTGAGAAGTGCTTTTTATATTATATGAATTAATTTTACTCTAAGCTTGGTGTCAAGAGCCTCATGATTCACTNTTTTGAGAAGTGCTTTTTATATTATATGAATTAATTTTACTCTAAGCTTGGTGTCAAGAGCCTCATGATTCACTCGGGAGCCGCATGCGGCTCACGAGCATCATTGTAGCCACCTTATTATAATGTACTTGTAAGTTGTAACACCCATTTTCACATTATATAAACAAAAATGTAATTATAGTAGCAATCGCCAAAAACTTTTTATCAAAATACAAAATAATAGATACTTTTATATAGTATTTAAAACGGTAATTTTTGAGAAACCATCAGGATTCAGTATTCAAAACTTCATTCATTGGAATACATCAAATGTTCATCAGATATTTTAGGAAAAAAAGTATATAAAAATTAAAAAATATCTTTCTTTAAAAATAAAACTTCCAGTTTTTGTTTTTATCGAAATTCATAAAAGTTTTCTAGTTTAGATTGCTATAAATTGAGAACAATTCTTACAACATCCAAGCCTTTCTGATTAGACATTTTCTACTCCACAAAAAAAAAATGGATGTCGCTCTGCTGTATAGTAGGTTACAAGTGGGTTACTGTAATGGATGGTATTAAATTATGAATTCAATGATATAATATAATTTTATATGAAAAATGATTCTGAGCGGAGACAGTTCCAAATTCCAAATTAAATCTGATTCATTATATACCCGACTCACTCAGTCATTCATAGTATATACAATCCATCATAAAGTATTAATATAAATCATTAACAAAATTAACTATTACAATTAGAATTTAAAGTACCTATGAAAAAAAATTTTAAATTACAACAATATAACTAAAATTGTTATTATTGGTTATTGAATATGTAATTTCATCCTAATTTGAACTTAAAATAACTATAAAAGAAAAAAATTATGTTTATATAGTTTTTAGATTATTTTTGTCGCAAAATTAACCACTCAAGTGGAATCTTGTTTTAAATTTTAATCCTTAGGTATAAAAGTTAAAAGTTTTAAAAAGTTTCAATACCTAAATAATTTGTAAATTTTGTCAGAATTTGAACTTAAAATAGTTATAACAAAAAAACATGCCTATATATTTTTAATGTTTTCCAACTGCTATTATATAAACTTATGAGGTACCTTGTATTCAATTTTCACGCTTGACCCAACAAATAAAATTTGATTTACATTCATAGAATTAAAGCTAAAACAACTTAATGTCTATAAATAGCTTAAACATTTTTGAAATATTTTGATAATAACCACACAACCTAACCGATTTTGAATGAAAATTCAAGTTTTTTCCAGCACTTTTGAAAACTATTGGGGATTTTGCCCGAAAAGGTAAATTTGGTTGGTGCAGTGTAACTCTAAGGTATTTAACTATTTTCATATTACTTTTAAATTAGGTAGGTAATAGCAAATCGAAAGATTTTAAATTCTTTTAAAAATCTTTAGTATATGTTTATTTTATTATAGGGAAATTGTTTACATACATTTTTTTTTTTTTAATTATATTTAGTACAAGTTAATCAAGTCTTAAAATTAAAATTAGAATAACTAAATTAAAATAAGAACCATTACACTTCTGAAGTAATTGATGTAATATATTAAAAAACATGTTCCTAATTTTAATTGGATTAATTTTTAATAGGTACTTTTCAAAATAAATTAAATTATTAGTTTAGTAAAACTTAAAAAATGTTTAGCTTTTTTCTAATTAGTTTTGATTTATTTTAATACATTTATATATACAAAACCATTTGAAGAGATAAAAAATAGGTTAGTATAATTAATTAATTGTAATCCATATTTTGTAATCATTACCTAATATGATTAAGTATCTATTAAGGTTTTTAATGTCTTGAAAACAAATTAT